CCCCCCATCCTGAACGCCCTTGAGGTGCAGGGCAGAGAGACGCGGCTGGTGTTGGAGGTGGCCCAGCACCTAGGTGAGCATCTGCCGCAGAGCAGAGCAGAGCAGGGGAGGCTCCTCCTGTGATGATGTATTTCCATGACTTTCGTTCTCCTGAGCTTGCTGAAGCCACGGATTTCGATCTGAGGGGAAGGAAAATGGCTGCCACAGGGCTCTGGTCTCCAGTGCAGCAGCCTGAGTGTGGGCTAGACTTGTTTTTTCTCTGTGCTATTTTGTCCCTGGGTCTTGGCAAGGCCTGGGGAGGCCACCAGCAGCTGCAGCCGGGGACTCTGCTGCCTGAGTGTGGGCTAGACTTGTTTTTTCTCTGTGCTATTTTGTCCCTGGGTCTTGGCAAGGCCTGGGGAGGCCACCAGCAGCTGCAGCCGGGGACTCTGCTGTGACACTGTCCTTGGGCCTTGGCAGGGGAGAACACAGTGCGCACCATCGCCATGGATGGGACGGAGGGGCTGGTGAGGGGACAGAAGGTGCTGGACTCGGGCGCTCCCATCCGCATCCCTGTGGGCCCTGAGACCTTGGGTAGGATCATGAATGTCATTGGGGAGCCCATCGACGAGAGGGGCCCCATCACGACCAAACAGTGAGTGACACCATGGCCAGGAGCTGGTGGCTGGGGGGGCAGGTGCTGCCGGGGCTGCAGCACCAGCCTTGCCCTGGGCCACCAGCAGGGACCCCTGTGGTCTCCCCCTGGCACTGTGGCCGAGGGTCAGGACTGTGCCTCTCCACCCCCAGGTTTGCTGCTATCCACGCTGAAGCCCCCGAGTTCGTGGAGATGAGCGTTGAGCAGGAGATCCTGGTGACAGGGATCAAGGTGGTGGATCTTCTGGCTCCCTATGCCAAGGGTGGCAAGATCGGTACGTTGGTCCCAGAGGAACATGGGGTGTCCGGGGAGGGGGGCACCCACCAGCCCCTCCAGGGCTGCAGCAGTTTCCTTCGCTGATGAGTAACCATTTGACTTTCGTTCTTCTGAGCTGGCTGAAGCCACATTTATTGATCTGAGGAGGAAAGGGGTGAGGGAAGACAGCATGGGCAGTGAGGATGGCTCGGGGTGATTTGGTCTCCTCTTTCCCACAGGTTTGTTTGGGGGTGCTGGTGTTGGCAAGACGGTGCTGATCATGGAGCTGATCAACAACGTGGCCAAAGCGCACGGTGGGTACTCGGTGTTCGCCGGCGTGGGGGAGCGAACCCGTGAGGGCAACGACTTGTACCACGAGATGATTGAGTCCGGGGTCATCAACCTGAAAGACGCCACCTCCAAGGTGCGCTGCCTCTGGGGGTGTCCGGGGGTCCCGGGTGCAGTGGAGCAGCGCTGTGCCCACACTGGGGCTCTGCCCACAGGTTGCCCTGGTCTATGGGCAGATGAATGAGCCCCCAGGCGCCCGTGCCAGAGTGGCCCTGACAGGACTGACGGTGGCCGAGTACTTCAGGGACCAGGAGGGTCAGGATGTGCTGCTCTTCATCGACAACATCTTCCGCTTCACCCAGGCGGGCTCTGAGGTTGGTGCTGGGTGCCAGGGAGGGCCAAGCCCGGCTCCCCCCCTTGCACAGCCCCTCACCTGTTCCGCGTTCCTCAGGTGTCTGCCCTGCTGGGGAGAATCCCCTCTGCTGTGGGCTACCAGCCCACCCTGGCCACCGACATGGGCACCATGCAGGAGCGGATCACCACCACACGCAAGGGCTCCATCACCTCAGTGCAGGTGAGGGCAGGGCCGACCCTCCTGTGCCCTCCTCATGCCCACCAGCCCTCCACTCCCACCGTCCCCTGCTCCCTTCCCAGGCCATCTACGTGCCTGCTGATGACCTGACAGACCCTGCTCCTGCCACCACCTTCGCCCACCTGGACGCCACCACGGTGCTGTCCCGCGCCATTGCCGAGCTGGGCATCTACCCGGCCGTGGACCCGCTGGACTCCACCTCCCGCATCATGGACCCCAACATCGTGGGCCCCGAGCACTATGATGTGGCCCGAGGGGTGCAGAAGATCTTGCAGGTGAGGGGACCAGGGCAGCCCCTGCAAGGGATCTGGGGGAGCACAAAGTCCACCACTAGCAACTCAACCCCCTCTCTCCCCTCCTGCAGGACTACAAGTCCCTGCAGGACATCATTGCTATCCTGGGTATGGACGAGCTCTCCGAGGAGGACAAGTTGACAGTCGCCCGGGCACGCAAAATCCAGCGGTTCCTGTCACAGCCTTTCCAGGTGGCCGAGGTCTTCACTGGCCACATGGGCAAGCTGGTGCCGCTGAAGGAGACCATCAAGGGCTTCAAGCAGATCCTGGCAGGTGAGTTGGCCCCTGAGGGGGCCCGGAGGGAGCTGGGGACCCCCTGCTCTCCCCACTGAAGCAGTGTCTCCCCTCAGGCGAGTATGACCACCTACCAGAGCAGGCCTTCTACATGGTGGGGCCCATCGAGGAGGCGGTGGCCAAGGCAGAGAAGCTGGCTGAGGAGCATGCGTGAGGAGGGGCCCCCACTGCCCCCCCAGCCCCGCCTGGGGCCGGACCCCCAGTATTTAACGTTTCCAATAAAACATCAGTTAAAATATCCTGGGGCCTTGTGTGCTGGGGCCCCTGAGTGGTCGGGGGTCCTGTGAGTCCCTCACTCATGGGACAGGTGGGCTGGGCTGTTGGGGGTCTCTGCTCTTGCTTGTCCCCTCCCCAAGGCTGTTCTGCTGGGGGGGGGGACAGCAGGACCGTGAGGGGCTGAGCTGGAGCTTGGGCTCAGCTGCCACCAGGACCCCCGGGAGGGGGGAGAAATGCAGCCCCCTCCCCACCTGGGGTCAGGGGACAGATGCTGGCACCGGTGTCTGTCCGTCTGTCCGCCCCTCC